TTATTATTATTATTATTATTATTATTATTATTAATATTATTATTATTAGCTCCGCGTATTTATCACAATAATTTATTAGAGAGGAAGATATTGAATATCTTCCCGCCCTGAGGTGGAACCTACTTGTATCTATTCTATTGTATCGAGTCTAATAAATGTAATTAATAATTAAATTTTATTCCCTCTGTTCCCATCGTGCTTCGGAGCATACTAATGTCTATTCTATTGTATCCTTTGTCTTGCCCAACCTCTATGCCTTGCTCCCACGTGGAAACACCCTATCTTCCTAACTTTCTCACTAAAAATGTTTATATTTCTTTAAAACTGTTATTTCCGCCTCCAAATTTCACTCACTTTATAACTAAAAATAATAAACAAATCCAAACAAAAAATAAAATGTATGTACTCACATTATTTTTGTGGAATTTTATGTATTTTTTCCGTACTTTCAATCAGTTGCCATATTATAAAACTTATTCTTCATATTTTTTCTTCTAGCGTATTTATGAAGAAAAGTTAACGTTAACTTTTTTTTTTATAAAAGTTAACGTTAACGTTAGACCAGTGACGCTGAAGTCTGGTATACGGTACAATTCGTTTAAACCGGCACATCGTGCCGCCCCGGCGACATCTGCGTAGTTTGAATTCTGGAGACTTCCTTGAAGAGTGCTTTCTTATAAAAGTGAATTGGTAATTATGCGGAGGATAGACTCAAGGACGTTTATAGTGAACGCGAGGGCAGAAGGCCCGAGAATCGACGTGTCTTGGGTCCGGGCGAGCGAAGCGAGAAAACGCCTTTGAAAGTAAATTGGCATTACAATGCGGCGGGGAAAAGGCATATGATGGGCGAGCCATGAAAATCGCATATACGTAAGTTTTATTCATTTCTATCAGAGCGCGCAGCGTAATTTCAGGGAGAGCTTAAGCAGACTCCCACCGCCGCCTGTGCTTCTCTGAGGTTGTACCGTGTACCCTTCTTTAACCGAATTTTCTCCGTTTTCTGATCGAACAGAGAGATTGAAATTACTCTTAAAATTCATTCATCCCTTAAAGAAATCTCGACTTTTTTGAAGTTTAATGAACTGACCTGCTCTTCCACTAGCACATACAACAATAATATACACTAGCACATGTCACCATGATCAGTTGAACTACAAATAAACATCTCTTTGGTAACCGTGACACTACACTTCTGATCAACAGTTGCATTCACGAAAGTAAAATCATTGAAAATTGATGAGTTTTCTAATGATGCGAAGCAGTCTTACCTCAGGATATCATTAGTAATTTCAGTGATGAAGTACGAAGTACAGCAACTAGCTTGCCCTTCTTCCATTCTGAACTATCCACGGCCAACTGAACGTATTTCGCAAAAGCTACTCCTTCCGTCGCTGACGTCACACGTCATCATACTTGGCAATTCTTTTTGGTTCATTACGCATTTCTCTGTTAAGGAGTAGCCCTGTTTAATTTTAAATTGCAACAAACCAGTTAGGCTCTATTTTGTCTTATAGATGGGGGTATACATAAAGATATTATTGTGTTATTTTTTCTTGAGGTTTTCTCAAGAGGGGTTTGAGAGGTTTGAGGGGCCTTGTTAGCACACAACATTGCTAGCTATATATATTGAGAACCGTGCGAACAATCCGGCAACTTTCAAGGTTTTAATAATTACTAAATAATCTATACTAATAAAAGTGAATTCAATGACACGTAACCAACATCGATACCTCCAAAAGTAGTGTATGAAAAGACACTAAATTTTTACAGGCCGTTCTTTAGAACTGTCACTGTGACCTTGCAAAGTTTGGTTAAAATTAATAGAACACAAATGCAGAAAATAAATAATTTAAATATTCATATGTTGATAGATTCACCACAATCGTTATTTTTTGCCTATTGCTAAGAGCAGTTGGTTTCCTAATAATTTATATTTTGACAGTAGCCAGTAGCGGTGCGTAAGATCACATAATAAAATTCTATGATTTTTTAAAATTCTGGTTTCTAATGGGGCCTTGCTTGTGGTTAATAGTAATAAATAATATTTTTATTGTTATAGCAATACTTGCTAGAGATGGGTCTATCAATATAGAAACTACATATAGTAGCAATACAATACAAATGATAGAACACATTGCATTCAGTTACCAGTTCATGTTAATAATGAAAGGTTTTTCCTTAAAATATTTTACTAATTTGGCTAGCAATTAACTATTGAATTACTAATAAATAAAAATAATAAAGGCTCCAAGGATGATAATAATAATAGTAATAATAATTTTAAAGCTAAATTTAGTATTAAAATACTAACTTATAATAATAAGAAGTTAATAATAATTATTATAATAAGTTGATCAATAGAAATAATAATAATTATTATTATAAATTAGTATTTTAATATTAAATTTAGCTTAAAAATCCCATATTTTCAATCTTGTATTTCATATTATGTTAGTAAGATATGGTCATAAACTTAATTTAAAGAGCAGTTTCCACATAGATACTAAATGGGAGTCAAAGAATATTTCTGAAGTTTGGAAATCAAGTTTCTAGTTGTTTCTTACAACTATAAATAAATCCAAAAAATAACCTATGTTATAGTGAATTTTATGAGCAATAAAGTTAGTAACAGAGAAGTGAAATGCAATTGTAAACCCTGTTTTGAAAACAGCCTACACGTTCAAGATGATTGATTGCATTTGAGAAATTTAAAAAACATTTCGGCTTCTCTATTCCACCCATGAATGAAATTGTCATTTTGTTACCCACCAGATCAAGGACTAGGAAATTTCAATGCCTAGACCAAATTGTAATTTAGATCCCTCTAAAAAGTGTCTTCTCCAAGTTTGCATTTGTTTTATCCTGTTATTAAATTCAATATAATAATATTCAAATATAAATGAAATATTCTTTATATGTATGACTAGGCCTATTTAATTCTTAAGTGAGGGTGAGGAAAACAGCTAACACCTAATGCCTTTTCCTGGGCTCCTGGTCAAGGATAGTTTCTTTTTCCCTGGTTCCCTGAACGTGGTATCTCCCAGAGAACAAAGTAAGTACTGACTCCAACAGCAGAAGCGTATGCTCTCTCTTCCTTTCCACAGTTCGAGAGACTATGGTAATCATGAGGATGAAGGATGTTTGATTACGGATGGGTTGATGGTACAGATATGACACGAATGAGAAGCTAACCATGCAACAACAATATGGTGAAATATGGGACTTTGGGACTTGAGTTTATAGCCTTGGGCTTTGCAAACTTAGTCCCTGCTCCAAGTCCAGAATGAATCAAGTATTAATGGCGATGTTATCCCAGTTATTTCAAGAAAACTAATATTTAAAACTATTATTTTTATCAGTGGTGACCCACATTTTGTGCTATTATTGGCTAACTTAACATGACTCATAAAATTATGATTTATTTAAAGCTTTAATTTTTTCTGTTTGTTTGCTAAATTGTATTTCCGTTTGAAATTTTTTGCCTCAGGTTTTGTGAGATCCATTGACCGCCTATGATTTGCAATATGTACTCTAGGGAGCCTGCACTTGCAATGCAAAAATCTTCTCAACAAGACAACTTGCTAGCCAATAAAATAGTTTGCAATTTGACTGTCACTGAATAGTACGAATTAATTAATAGTATGAACAAAATTTGCAGGAGGCCCTTTCAGTATTAGCGGTCGCCTTATATTCAATGGTCTTAGAAGAAAGTAAACAATGAAGGGGTGTACTCAATTGATACTCTGCCAGATCTTTTTGAATGAATATCAGGAGGTTCGCTTGAATTTTTCTTTACAAAAATTTCGATGTTGGAATGTGTTATAATTTTACATATAAAATGAATTATTATGAAGAACTATACTTATGATTAGGCCTACTTAAAACCAAGTTAAAAATTGTAAAATGAGTATATGTTCATTCATGCAAAAAAAAACACAACAAAAAGCTCTGCATTTCAAACTAAACTTCAAATGGTCAATAGTTTTGGTTACAAGCTACAGAACTTTAAAACATGGAAGGATCTTGGAGAAGGAACAGGACAAGAAAGAAATGAAATACCTTCCCGAGAGAAGGATGTCAGGAAAAACAGCACAAAATTTATTAAGTGCAATGAGTATACAACTCAATATATTTTTAACTTTTATTCTTTCATAGTTTTAGTTTTATTTCATTGAGTTTCTATTCCAGCACAGCTGGAACAGAATGCAGCATGATATATAGCCTGCAAAACCCAATGACACAAATAAGATATGCAAAATACATTGTGTGTTTCATCTCATCTCGCAATAGACTGGATATATAATAGCTATTCTCATATAATGTACACTCTATATACTTCATACTTCACACAACAGATTCTACAGGGAGATGTATGCAAGGCACAGTAGGGCAACTGGAACAATGTTTAAGAGGGCTTCTTGGCCCTGTCACAATAATTAAACTCTGTTTTCTTTACTTACACTCGAGTTTGCCTTAACAATCAAACTCATCACACAAACATACGTACGGGCACACACATATATAAACTTTTTCTTGATTCATAAACCTTTTCATTTGACAAGAAAATACTCCACTTACACACGTTGCCAAGTCAATTAGGTGCTTTCTACTTCAAAAAGAACTTGACAGTTGGAGGCACATCAACGAAATCATAAAGTTCAAATTTACCAAGTGTGCAGAATGAGGATAAAAGTAGGAAATTTCTCTATATAGACGATACTTTTGTTGCTTCGTATATGATGAGTACGTTCCCTAAGAAGAATGTACAAAGACAATAATTCTATAGTAGAATATGGTGTTCTTGCTTGATTCAGTATTGTAAGACAACTGTCAAGCTCTTTTAATAATTTCCAAACCCATTACACATGAGCTGAAATAAAAACAGGCTCTAAGTACGCAGTGTACTCTATACTGAAGAATACGATACATACAAACGCTTAATGTTCATGTGCACATACATGCACCACTTTTTTTTCTAAAAGAAACAAAACATGTTTCAAGCTTTAACATGAAATGGATAATCCAAAGATTAACATGAGTCATACACAGAATAATTAATCTACAAATCGGAAAGTGAGCGGAACGTCTAGAAAGTAACCACATTTAAAAAAGAATATACATGATTCACATAGCAACAGAATGATCAAACACAAAGAGATATTCTCTCTTTATCTTTTTTTTCATTTCTTGCATGGTATTCAGTCCCTTATTGTCACTCACTGAAGCGAACTATGATCTCCATGAGGCGATCTCTTTGCACCAGCAAAGGAGAATGTGTATGCCAGTGCGAGGGGTTGCAAAGTTCGCAACTTCTCCCTGACAGCCCCCTCTGTGCAACATGTTGCAACATGATCACACAGATCAACAGGCTCCAGACAGTTAGTCTTCTAATACTGTGTCATCCTGTCATTCTGATTTTCTGCTTGGTTGTACTCTTGGATAGAGCTGAAGACACAATGGCAAAAAAAAAAAAAAATTAGTTCATGTTGAAATGAAATCAAAATAGCATAATGATCACATGCATTTTAAAAAGGTGTCAACACAACTTCTTTTAATGCCAATAAACATTGAACAAATAAGGTGCCATTAGAAATTATGGCAACTTTCTAACGTCGGTTTCACAATGTAATGTAATAAAAAGAGAGGGTAGGGTTTTCAGAGCTTAAGATATTGTGCATAATAATAAGATAAGATAATGTACATCACATACAGGTTTACTGCGAAGTCCATAAGAAGGAGACTTAACTCCGGTGTTGGAGACATGATGGGATATGTAAGAAAAACATTGCCAGCTAATCAGACTTGCTTAGCTTTAGTGACCATGCCGTAAATGAAGGAATTATTTCAGCTTTTTTGAGTCAAAAACAACACACATTCATGTACTAGACCAACGCCATTTACACTTTAGTGCATAACTAAGTGTAGATGACACTGACTAGACACAAGAGCTTGTTGGCTATTGGCTGAAAATGCCTTAAAAATTCTTCTATTGACCATGTGGTGTCGATGAAGCTAAGGGAGTCTGATTAGTTGCCAATACTTTTCATACTACCCCCGTAGGGAAGAGGGGGGGAATAGCGACTATGTAGGTGATCACAGTGTCTGGTGGAGACTTGCAAACGAGTACCACAGGATCGTTAGTCTCAAGGTGGAGGCAGTGAGTAGGTGGTTTGCCACTGACCCTTGGGCGAGATCGGGCATGGTGTTCAGTAACCAGCATCCTCTGTGCAGCAGGGCAGCGGACCTCAAACCTACATGTAAAAGTCCAGGCGGGGAAGCATGAACCCCGTGTCAGGGTTGCCTAGGTTCCAGCAGCACTCACATCGATAACTTCAAGGTAGAGGCAGAGGAGATGGGTTGGGCGCCTCGAGCCCCCTGGGTCTTGACCCGTGGACCCCAAATTGGACACCTGACTTCATCTTGGTAGAGGCTTGGCATAGAGGAGGGACTTGCCCTGATGCATGTGAGTGGCACAATGAGTTGACTCTGACACCGACCTGGAAAGCCAGTAGCTCTGAGTCAGTAGAGCAGTCTGATCCAGGCATTGAATGGGGAGGTTGTCATGAGGGTTAACTGCATTCTCGCAGGATCCAAATACCAGCCTGTTGGCATACTTGTGCATCGACGGGAGGGGGTGTGATAAAGGTAAAAAGCTTAGGTGCCCACCAGGGGTGAAACCCCCCTAATAGAACAGACCATTGGGAGGTGTGGTAGACCATGTGGGGTCCACGAATACCCCTACCACCACCAGAGTTGAATCTCCTTTGTACAGACTTCGTGGCTTTTATCTGCTGATATCAATATAGAAAAATGACAACTACAACTGAACAATTTTACCACCCGAGAATCATAAGCGACACTCACCCCCAGCAGGTTGCGTGGTGCGTAGCCCTCCTGGTCGTTTAGCCGCGACCACCACCACTCCCTTTCCCACTCATCACCCTTCCGCAGCACGACGAGGCGGTCACCCTCGTGGAACGAGAGCTCGTCTGCGTTGTGGGCTTCATAGTCGTAAACTGCATACACGCAGCCATTGTTGAGGATGCCCAGCTTCTCCTGCACACCTGTTTAGCAAAGAATGTTTGTTTTATATGAAATTATACTGTTTATGACATAACAATGCAGTTGCAAACTAGTGAAGCTAGATACGTAAAATTTGGAATAGACTATCCTGATGCATGTTATCACTATGAAAGAATTTTTGAAAATTGAACATCTGTAAGTGTGAAATATGTTGTTGTTCTTTGTTTTTTGTTTTGTTTTTTAATCTGAAATGCATTTAGACAGCATGTATTACAGGGAGAGAAGGGGATGGGAGACAAAGTAGGAAGAGTGTACAGCACAGAGCACAGGGAACTAAGTGATATGGTGCATGACAAGGTGGCAAGGTACATGATATGGTGAATGGAAGGGATGTGTTCTTTCACTATCATTTTATTAGAAAAGATATTACCAAGAAAGAAGAAATCAATATGCAGTTTAAAATATTGCTAATGAAAAAAGTCTTATCTTGGCATGTTTAACTTTATGAGTATGGTGCAGTAGGGCTCAAAACACATTCCATGATTAGGTGTTAGTCTTAAAATCTCTATAAATTATTCTCTGAAGTCTTAATATATAAATTGATAGTTCATTTTATGTTTTTATTTAAAATGTTATATTTAAATTGCATTGTGTGATTAAAAGTTTAAAAAAATGTCAACAAATATAGGTTTCTTGGAAATCAAATTTATTCAGTCTCCAGTTCCCGTCCCACAGCTACTCTGAAATTTTTCGAAGTCCCCCTGCCAGAGGTGTCCTGAGAGCCGACCCCGCGAGCTCGCGCGGTCTTTGCCCCTCAGCTCGGCCGAGTCGAGCTTCTACATAACAAGTTTCATTAACAGGAAGTCGCCTCAGAGGCTGAGAGGTCTCTCTCTGCGGAAGCGCTCTAGAGCGTGCCGATTTGGCCAAAATCCCGGACACCCGACGCAGGTAGCCCCGCGCCTTATCCGTTGCCTCTGCGGGAACATTTGAACGTTGCAAAGGGACTTTTATTTTGAACGTATAAATGAGAAAAACATATACACGTAAAACGCGAATCTTGTATATAAAAGACAATGTTTGTTTGTTTGTTGGTTGGTTGGTTCATACTCGTACTTAATCGATCATCCGATTCTGATAAAACTTATTGCTTGCACTTGCGGGAAGAATAAAGGCACAGTGTGAAGGGAATGAGCCTATATGCGAAGGGAACATGCCTGCACACGTAGACGTGCATTGATGATCAATTTATGCTGACTCAAGCGTCCTGAACAGGGCACTCTACGTAACAGCGCTTGATGCAACCCGTTGCACACTGAAGTACAATTATTAAGATGTCTTTATTGAGCATTCTGCCCCTGTGATTGTGAATTTCTCCCGGGAGAGACCAGAAAGACAGACATGCAGAGAGAGAGACAAAAAACTAAAACAGAGAGTCAGAGGAAGAGAAACAGAGTGAGACCGAAAGACATGGAGAGAGACGGGATCACACTCGCAAGAAAGTCTTTTGTCTATTGTAATTGTTGCAGAGCATAGCGAAAAACATGATTAACTATCATGTGACCAGTAGTATGCAAAGTGTAATACATTGCCATAACAAAGCTTTTCTGAGTCCACTAGTCTGAAATAATTTAGCACGGGAATTACAGGAGTTTATCTGGGACTTGTGGGGGGGAAAATAAGTATAAATGTGCAAAATATATAAAGGCAAAATGTTAAAACGGAGTTTCACTGCATGTATCTTTTGGGCTGTGAACTTGTATACTCACTGTAGAGGTATTCTGAGCAACCATCATAGCCCTCCTCATCCTCTTCGCACTTCTCTGCTGCAGTCTCATGGTCTGAGAGTGTTGTAGCGAAGATGCAGGCTCCATGTTCTACGAGGAACCTTACCATTGCAAGGTTGTTGCACGATGCAGCACAATGCAAGGGGGTCCTGCAATTGTAAACAGGACGTCATTACTGGTTCACACTTCGTTATCATTAACACTTCAATGCACAATGTCTTCTCTCTTTCACTTCAAGGTGGCCACTAGTTTCGTGAAAAAAATGTCCCTGCCTATTCTTGATTTTCCAGTAAATTTACATTTCCTCATGATAAAATGTGTTTTTTCAAACTAAAAAAATATTAGAGCAACCTGATATTAATTAGATAGCTCTCTCATTCTGCCAGTCCACATAACAAATTAACAATAGTTTTTTTCAACAAATAAAAATTAAGCAAAGACTAATATTGTATTACTGTTTTTAGGAAATAATACATAGATTTGTACCCTCCTCAAAATTTTCCCTGACTTCTAATGATTCTCCTACAAATTCCCTAATTTTTCTCTGACTTTTCCAGAGCAATAAAATTTTCAGATTTTTCTGTTTTCCATATTTTTCAAAAAGTGTCTACCATGCACTTAACACCCTTTTCTTTGTGACAAAAATCTGTACAGATATTTACATTTTTTATATTTTCACTTTGTTTATCAGTCAAGTATTCTTACACTTAATCTCAATCACATGACCATCAGGTTTTAAGACAGACTTGAAAGAAAAAAATACAACCTATCAGGAAAAAGTATTGTTTGAATTATAAGACATTATCAGATCTGGAAATAGTTAATTGGTGAGGTTTTGGGGAGATTACATCATGGGTCTCCTTCATCAGGCTTCAGAAAAAGATGTGTAAACATTAAATTTTTAGAATATTACCACAAAGAATTTTTTTTCTTTCTTTCAATTCACTGAAGATTCACTGGAATTTACTTCAATGTGTTTATTACAATGAATAGGACTGTTGTTGCTGTTGGAGATGACAATCAATAGTGCAGTAAGTTAAGTTTTGTCTCTGACAATGTAAATAAAAAATTTTCAACAAAAATTAGGCAGAAACATTCATTTCTTAATGGACATCTGAGAGAAATTAGTTGAACATAAACTCACCATCCATCACTATCTTGCGCATTCACATCACAGCCAAACTCCACCAAGAACTTGACTATGTCCAGGTGTCCAGCACAGATCGCATTGTGCAGGGCTGTGATGCCTTCATCGTTGGCTGCACTGGGATTGGAGACTTGAGCAGCCGTCTTTCGCACCAATTCCAGCTCTCCTTCGAGGGACGCATCCAAGAGGAGAGCCAAAGGATCAAAACTCACCCGGCGTGACCCGGGGCCCCCAGAACCCTTTGTACCTCCTCCGGCCTTCAGGTTGCCCTTCTTCACGCGCCGTACGATATGTTGGAGACCAGTTTCCCCTAGGAATCAAGAACATTTTGTTTAGATGAAATATTACCGTACTGGTTTCTAAAAACGAAATACAAAGTTGCATTTACAATCCTTCATAAACTCATCATTTATCTTAAAAAAAGAAAAAGAAAAGAAAAATACCGTTTACCTTAGTTTGTACTAGAGTAAATTGAAAAAAATAGTAATAATGGTTGCTCCCACATAAGTAAATATTATATTCTGATTTAGTAACCAGCATATGAAGTATCTGCTTTTGTTCTTTAGAACTGACTAGCACTTGCATAAGTAAATATTACTTTGTTTTATTTTGATAAAAGACAGCATAGAAATAAAATATATTCTATTGTTCAATTGCAAAGTTGACTTGCTGTATCAGAATGAAACTATGTAATAAATTGTAAAAGAAAAAGAATTCTATCGTGTCTTGTTTGAAGATTACGGAAACAGAAAGGTGTACCGTTGTTTACACATAAAATTAGAAGAATATATCAACTTGCAAAAGTGCAAGGGCAGCCACGTTATAAACTTAAAAAGCTCCCTACCTCCCATCTCCTGCTGATTCATATTGATGCTGTTGAGAACATCAACCACTGCAGCCGAGACATCCATTTTGCTCCCCTCCGACATTCCTTTCCCAGACTGGCCCCCTCCTGGTGGTTGCGAGTGGTTGCTCTCCTCTCCAAGCGGTACCAAGGGGCGTCCTTCCTCTTCGCCATCACCAGATGGGGAACCGTCACCCTGACCACTATCACCAGCACTCGACTGGCTGCTCAGGGCTGCCAAAGTGAACATATATATCATTTTTATTCTGTTCGAATTAAAGCTTTGGTAACGTTATTGGAACATTTCTCTTTCTATTAAGTTAAAGCTAGGCATCTTTCTTATTTTATATTCCAATATTATAGATTATATTGTAGTTATTTTCTCATTGTATTATACCACAAAAAAACAAATATGCCACATAATCTATACCAAATGCAAAATAATGGTTAATTTTTTTAAAAATTAAAATATACCCTTTCATTTAATTTTATTTTATATAGAAGGTTAGTCTTACCAATGGATGTTTTCGGATATTAGAATAAGAAGTTTTTCAAGTATTACAAAATGTTCCAAGTTTTTAAAATCACAGGTTATTGGTTGTTTTGGAACAACATTCAACTTCAAGAACAAATATCACTGTTATTCTTAACATACATTTATTAAGGGTACACATTAATTTATATAACCAGAGGCTCAGAAATGTGTCACAGAAATAAATTTGATTTAAAAAAAAGCTTTTGAAAAACTACACTTGCAATGGTTTACAATAAGTTTTCATGAAAATCATACTGCCAACATCAGTGCAGTTTTCAATTGCCCCTTTTTATAGTGTACTCAGTGAAAATGTTCTTTTATGACAATAGTACATTGCATTAGCTTACTCCATGTGAGCAATGTGTTGTACTTTTTCCTGCTACCTTCACTTTTCATCCATTTCCCCATATGGTAAAATTCCTATATAACTACCATTTAAATATTTTAAACTGTAACCTCACACAAGACATACATTTACATGACCATATCCGCTCAGAATTTTTAATACCACCATTCAAACCACCTCCAAATATAATTACTATTCTTCCTAAAACACCCGTACACCCTGAATAAGTAATTCAAAACAAAACCATGTGTACTCACCTGTGCTGCCTGGACTTGCACTCTCTGTGGAAGAGACAAGATCAGCTGGAGGAGCTTCCGTCTCAGGAAACAGGAAGGCTGGAGGCATTTCGATTCGTCGGTTAATGCTCACGTGCACACCTGCAGCAGATTATGTTCTTTGCTTCAGACACAGCTTTCTTTTCACATCTAAGTGCACTTGTAGATTTTCCAAGGCATCTAACCACTTCAAATAATGCTTCGATTTCAGTTTCAGTTAGCAAAATCCTGTGTGTTGTTTTGTGATAACAAAACATTTTGGTTCTGAATTGAGATGGTACTAAATGGTCCCCTCCCCCCTTTTTTTAATGTATGTAATACAAAAAACTGAATATCTCTTTTTTGAAAATACTTTCTTTGAAGTATTATACTATAGGAATTCTCGGGCAAAAATATGTAGAGTAAAAAAAAAGTCACTTTTCTGACCGATACATCTGATAAAACAAAAGAGGTTATTTTATCTTTGTATTTCAAAACCATGCAACAACTCAAACATCTGTTATTTACACTTTGAATCACTTATTGAATAGTGAACCCGGTGCAAATGTTGCATGATATTATGAAGAACTTTGAAAAACCAAAAATTTTTCAATCAGTAATGATTCCAACAATACATTTCATGAAAAAATAATTTTAATTTTTATCTTACTACTGAAATGTTTTCTGATTTTGGTTTGATGCCTTGAAATTCTTCAAGACCAAAATGTTGGATTTTGTGTTACAATAGACTGCAAGAATATGGTCCATAGCCACATGCCGTTGGATACAAAACAATGTTGACAAAATTTCACATTTATTCTGATGTTTACATTAATAACTTATCTTTCCAAATGTTTAACGCTTTTCTGAATTACGTTTTTGGCAACTAATTTTGACACCATTTACCAATGGATATCCAAAGCAAAGTCTTTTTTTTATGTTGTCTGATTTTTATTGGTTAAATTACATTGTTTATTGGCAAATTGAAAGAAATTTTATGTGATAGTGTTTTTTTCTCTCTCCCAAAAAGCAATACCTGAACAGTGTTTTCACACCAGTGCCCTCATGGGCAAGTCTATAATTGTTGTTATTTTGGAAAGATTGTAAGAGACTTACAACTACAAATGAGATTTTCTCCCGTTTAAATACTTTTTATTTCGTAATACAAATGAGCCCTCAAAATTCAACCTTGAGGTTTAAAACTAACCCCTGTAGCAGCAAGTGAATTAATAATACCTTACTTGAGAGAATTAAGAGATCTTGGATTTGATCCAGGCAGAGTGTCAAAAATGTACGTGGTTTGATTAATGTCAGCAAGTTTCTGGCAGCTGTCAGAATCAAGTTCAAAGGGTGACTGCCTTGAATCAGTTGTTCCTGTGGTCTCCCTGCTCTCTTTCAAGTAGTTGCCACAGTAGCACCCTGTACCACTGGCAATGGATTATGCATGATCTTTCCCTTTCATCATAATGAACATTATCTTCTCCAGTCTGAACTGGGGTGCTATGATGGAGTACATCGCATTTTTTAACCCACCCCGTCAAAACCAGTGTACTCAATGGGGAGGTCTTGCACAATGCACAGGACTAATACTAGAGAAAAGAAACATGTTAATATTTAAATACTACACAAAGCATGGCGTACGACTCCAATTATGACAGCTCATCACATTCCGCTACTGCACTAGGTATCTTAGTGATCCAACTTGGTAAATATTTTTTATGATTTTGAGTTACCTACTCTACCTTTAAAGAAAAGTCAAAAATGTATCATCATGATCTAGGCTTTACAGCCTGTTTCCATTAGTAGGTTTATTATAGCATTCTTGGTAGATTATTAGTCTTCCAAGTGTTCCTGCAGTTGCCACTTCCTTAGTGGTCTGCCTCTACCTCAAAAGTGTAAAAATTTGAATTACTTAATTGTAGCATTACAGTAATGATATGTGGCAGGGTTTAAATGGTCTTTTTAAAGCTCTAAATAATGGCAACCCTCACCATTGCTGCTTCCTCCGCTACCACTGCTACTTCCCGAGGAACTGCTAGATGTGCTACCCGTGCTGCCTCCGTAGCTGGCAGATGCCTTTAGTTTCGGGTGTTCGGAGGCAGGCTGCTTCTTGATTGTGAGGGGACGCGCTTTGATGATTGGCAGACCGTCTCCTGCACAAGCACAAACCCAACCAATGAGCAATTATATATTTTATATATTCCATCAACAACACCATTGCCAATCCAAATTCAAATTTCCTAACTGATTACAAAGACGAATAACAGAAATTTTGAGGACAACGAGAATACAGTAAATTATGTTTTAGTATAAGAGAAAAGAGTTAATAAGGCCTGATGAATAATTTTTATAATCCACAAATTTCTTTTCAAGTCAAGACGTATGATAATCCTATGGATTCAAGAAATTGACAAAATGTTACAGGCTTTAAAAACATTTTAATTTATATGAGACATCTCTTAAGTCATAAAGATCATTTTTAGCAGTTTGATGAAAATGAAGTGTTTTTAATTAGAGATAAAATGTCCTAGCAAGTTTATGAAGAAATTGCAATATAATATATCAAAACCTGCTTTTCACCTTATAAGCAAGTGATAATTATTTTCTCACATTACAAATTGAAAATTTTAAATATTGTAATACTTATTATTCAATTACTATGAATCCATAAATAAATAAATAATTATATAAAATCAATTAATATATAAAATGTTACTAACATTTTTAACAGGGTTATTTTCATTTATCTGAGGAAGTAGGAGAGACGAGCCATAACAGAAGGTTCATCTCCAGGAGATGTTTAAGATATAAGTTATTTTAGAGGAGACAAAAGTAATAAAAATTATGAAAGTATTTTCTGAAAGGCCCCTAACTGAAAATACTTTTTACATCCCTCCTCTCTTCTGAATCATGATAGTTGCCTACCTGAGCTTCCACCGGTTCGTCTTTGTTGCTGTTGCTGCTGCTGCTGCTGTTGCTGTGTTTGTTGCGGTGGTTGTTGCTGCTGTTGAACAGAAGAGGGTGTCTGCGTTGGAACGGAGGGTTCCTCGTGCGGAGGTTCACTCGTAGGAGGCGGAGGTGGAGGCCCACTGTTGGGTGTTGTTCCTCCTCCACTGTCCTCTGGTACAGGCTGTGTCAGCTTCGCAATCGGGTGCTCCGCTGACGCCCTACAAAATTATTTGTCAGAATTAATTTAACAATGCTTATGAAGAACTGAAAATTATGAGAAATTAAAAGAAAAAGAATTTTGATGCATCAACATCAGAAATGTTAGCGATTATTTCAATTACATATACCATAAAATATCAAGAAGTTCATTTCACGATACAGGCCATAAAACTTGGAATAAATACACAATTTACACATAATAATACAAATACCAGTATATCATATGTAATTCTCCACAAAGTAGTGTAGTTATTTAATTGTCACCAGCTTGTCATGTTTATACCAAATTCAAGGGAAAGTTCGTTCCACTCTAGGTTCCAACGGTAATCTTGTTATTATGTAACTAGAAAGAAGGAATCACTTGGATAATGAAACAGAAGAATTGAATTTTGCTCAGAGACTTTTTTTAGGCTTGACGATCTTTCACATGAAATGAATCTACAAGGCATACGAAAGATGTTTTTACCCTTAAAAGTTCACTGCTTTGATCAGGTCAGAAATCGCAAACTTAAGTATATCAGTCCTATATGCTAACCGTTACATCACCAAAGCCACCAAAGATGCGATTGCAAATGAAAAATTATTTAATGCTCATTAAATACAATTACAAATGACAGACAATACAAACAATACAAAAATATAAAATGTAATAATATATCTGGCAAGTCTGTTGGTTGGCATCTCTTAATTTTGATGAAAATATGGAAAAGGTCTGTCTTGTGTTGATCATATGCTTTGCTACAAATGCCATGTTGGACTTTTTACCATATAGTTTACATAGCTAAATTAACTAAGATTTCTCACCTGGTAGGCTGCACACGTCCTATGCCCACAGCCAAGTCCCCGACATCAGCACCCTCTCCAGAGCCAGCACGCCCGTGCGAGGGTGTAAAGTGCTGAGTCTGTCTGGGCGGCGGCGTGGGTTTGGCAGGCACTGTTGGTTTCGGTGGGAGAGCAGGCTTTCCTAGACCCCCTGCCGGGGCTTCGTGGCCAGTGGCGCTCGGAGGCAACGGCAGGTCAGGCGTTCCCACAGGTGTTGAAGTGCTCTGCGGTGGGGAGAGCTCCCCTCGCAAGTCTCTCAAGATACCCTGAGAGCAGAAAAGCGATTTGAGTAATACCAAAAAAGAAATTACATATTCTACTACATCAGGCATATTAGTATACCTCACAACTCTACATTGGTCAAATTTACACAGGAAGGAGAAGGAAAAACAAACAAAAAAACATTGCCACCAAGTTCTAGTTAAAGCTATAAAAAACTTGGGAACTCAATTATCAAAGATGCCAGATTAGTTCTTTATTAGGAATTCTTTATTCCTATTCTTTAATAATTATGTACAATCATGTCTGTAAGAATTGGAAGAGGAAAACTTTAGTCACAGAGTTTACTAATTATCAAGATTGTTTATAAATAAAAGTAAAAACATGTAAATGAATTGAAGTATATGATCCCTACAAAAATTTGTATGCGTAAGCATAAATTAACCATCATCCGCTACCACTGTTTATGTAACTACATAACTATATAAATGAAAGTCAATTTTTGAAAGCAGGTTGTTATGCATTTCAAGGTATTTTGAGGATGGGTTGCTTTCTACAAAACACCATTTACATATGAATATGATTAATTTGATGTCATCAGAAAATAATTTCATATGTTTTATAAAGATAATAATTTTGTAATGCTGAACTACATTGATTTTAAATTAATTTGTATTTATTAGACAAACTAATGTAACATTGCATTTTATTATTTCATTGCATTTTATTATTTTAATATAATTGTTCTTTCTGTTTTATAATTTGGACAAGTCCAACTTAACGAAACATTTTCTTATTGTACGATTGAAATTAGGTTCTTACCAATGTAATAATTAATAATAATGACGTGACGCTTGCATGACGTGACCCAAGAAAGTTAAAAGCTAATCAATACACTTCCATCATGTCCTTGGGGCCTCATCAAATGTTTAGAATTTAAAACTATTGGATCATATCCTCCATATCCCAATTCCCAGGACCTGCTCTACTCTAGCTATATTCTAAATACAGATTTAACAAAGGATTTGTACCTGAGGTGTGGAGCTAAGTGTTTGAGGTTGCACAGGTTGAATTTTCGTCGATGACGTTTGGTAAATAGGTGACGGTTTCTGGTGCTGTACTGATGTAGGTGCCACACTGCTGACAGGTTTCTATTCAAAACAGAAAAAAGTGAATGTGCGATTAATAAAGACATTTAATACTTATAAGTAAATTGAAACAACCCAAAAGGAAATAATTCCCTCGTCCCCCAAAGCTATGAAACATTATTGAAGGTGAAGCATTTTATATAAATTGTTCTTCTTACCATAATGAGAAAGTTTATTACACAAAGTTCGAACATAATGAAATCAGTTTTGAACTGAATCAATGCATTCTGTAATTACAAACTTCAACTATACAAATTAAGAAATAATCAACAAATATTAAAATGCTAATTTCAATCAACCTGCAAAAATCATATTGTACAAATTTAAAAGATTATAAACTATTTTTTCTGTGGAAAAAATGCAGTACGTTGAAACTAAACAATCCGCTGAGTTTTTTGGGAACATTTTTGTAACTACTTGAATTTTATTTTCAGTATTTCATTTGAATAGCAAAACAAAAATATCATGAACACTTAAAATTTTCAGGTGACGGGGTGGGTCAAAGTAACATATCTGTCTAATTAGTTCTAAATGGTTCTGAAAGCAATCCCTTCTCAGATTGCATCAGTGGTTCGAGGGCCAGCATGTTGTGAAGTACCCTGACTAAATTCTCAGTAAAATTAAGTCCTCCAATTATTCCTGTCTTAGTCATATCCTGTATATGCACAGCAAGGTGAACACCACCAGAAATAAACAGACTCACATTGTCATTGGATTAGCCCTTGCTAACAAAAATGGGGGAAAGGTATTAAATCTTTTTTTCAAATCCAAGCACATTTGAGAAACCAACTACAATTTTCACTCTAAAGCTCGATGTCTTAAGAAGCTAAGTAAGCATTTGCTTTGGGGTGTTTTTATTAAATATTTATTAGTTTTTCAAATTATTACAATAGAAAATTACTTTTTAGAAAGCTACTAGCTAAAGTGATAACTTTTAGGGCATGCACAGCATGATAAAAGTTCAATTTTTAACACTAATGCTAAAAGTGAGATGTTTCTCAAATATTCAGATAAAACTGTGAATGTAACAAAGAAGACAACGTTCATCTGACTGCATCAGCTACTCCTGATCTTAATGTAACATTGGACATAATTAGTAAGTCATTTGTTATCATGAATTACATTAAAATTGAAAGTCAGTAAGGCTTTCTATCTAAAAAATAATGTATACATAAGTGATAAAATTGATTTTATTCAGCCTGTACGATTATGCCACTAGGTCTATCGACCTTGTGTCACAACCTATCCTACTCACAAAATAAAATACCATTTTTATCACTCATATCATAATTATTAAACACTGAAAACTTTTATTTTTAATAACACTTCATAAAGAATATTGGTTTTTATTTGAGAATTCAAAATTTTGTCTTGTTTTGCACAAAATAGTCATTTAATGTCTAAATGTGCCATTTTATTTCTTAATCATCTCCTCCTGGCTTTCTTTATATCCTCGTATTAGAGATCATAAAAAGTATAATGCTTGGGACTTCCAAATGAGTTAATATGGGACTGCTTCTTTCAACTCCTCACCTGCATAGTAGGAGACATTATGAGTGGCATAGGCATTGTTTCAAAAGACCACGGCACCATGATGCTGCAGTTAGATGCAGCATGCTTTGGGTGTAGAGCTACCACATGCGCAGAGCGGCCCTGCCAACATACCACCACCAACTCCCAACATGCTCCACAGTTCATGCACACACTACAGCAAGCAAATTGCAAAACAATTGAAAGCAGTTAGTAAATGTTAATCAATCTGCTCAGTCAATACATTTCCTTTGCTAGATAAATAAAGTGTTTAATTAAACCAAAGAAAATGGACTAATGTAATTTAGTCCCCCATATGCCAAAACCATGAATGAGAATTGTTGAAGTTTTGGGAATTAAAAAAAAGGGCAATTAAAGCTTTGACACCCATGTAAAATTACATATTTATACAGAAGTGAAATTTGTGTTTGAATATATCATATTAGTAGGCAGAATAGTATGTATTGCAAACTGTTTTTTTTAATGTGATAATGCCCTCCTTTATGACTTGATTTTGTTGCAATAATGGTTTAGGCATAAAACAAGTTTAACAGACATAATTTTTATGTACTCCTTTCATTTAAATGAAACTTTATTTACCAGAAAAGTGTTCTCAACATTGCTTAAATTAATGCTACTATATTTTGCAAATGTTGAAATGGTTGTTTTTGATTTAATGAGAATTAAACAGGAGATGGGCAAATGTATTTAGTTCATCTAATTTAAAATCTCAAAACCAATTATGAGTATATACACAAGCTTAAATTTCCCTTGTTCTGTAATTCAGTACAAAATTTTGAAGATTTGGCTTTATTTTGTTATCATAATTTCACTCTCATATGTTGACAAAAACTGTTTGTTGTTAATTTTTAAACTTTAAGATAAGACCCTTATCTAGAATTACAAATCTGTCGTTTTCTTTATTGTACATTTCTACATCATAGGTTTTCTTTAACATGCAGAGTACAATTCAATTTTAACACATGAAAAGAACTGTCAAATAAAAATAAATCTGTTTCATATTCTTTAAACTTCAAATGAAGCTAAGGCATTTTATGGTGTTTACAAATTTCTATGTATTAATCAAATCATGAATTTAAATTGTGAACATAAAATCTCTATCAAAAAAATATTTTAAACTTATATAACAAACAGAGAAAGATACATATCCATGAACAGAAATAATGGTATCTTTCTCTCTTAAAATTAAGTAAAACAATTCATTGCATTCAGAATCAGAATACTTGCCTCATTATTTTTTGTTGTCAAATTACTCCAAATAAAAGTGGCAAATTTATGAACAAATTTGTCTAAGAAATCCATGATAAGGAAATTCTTTTAAAATTATTCATTCATAGAAAGAACAATATTGTTACCTTCAATACAGAAGCAACTCAATGGAAAAGCACACAGAATAAACCACATGATTTATCCGTAATTTTAAATGTTTTATTTCAATAATTACAATTCCATTTCCAAAATTGTCTAATTACTACAAGCACACCAAGAATTAATACATGCAAAGATCTATTGTCATCAGTGTTATTCTAGTTATTGAACTGTGTAAAGAAATTCATAATCATCACAAGAATTAAAGATTTTCCATCACCACAATCCTTTTGGAGTGTTTTAAAGCAACAGTGACACTTCAACTTAATTCAAAGCTACCATCAGACACCACACATGCTCAAATACATGATGCAATGACGTTATTACACAGATTCATGAATTATATTGAGTAAAATTGTTAAAAATAAATAATTTTTGGAAGTCATTAAATATACCAAAGGAAGCTCTAGAACACTTGCAAAATAAGACCATAATAATAAAACAGGAAGAAGAATACTTGTTTACTTGGCTTTGCAGAAAGGTGAGTTCTTACTCCCCACAATATTGGATATAATTCAAATAATTTACAAAGAAACATTTTGTTGCAAAAAACTCAAATGACAGGATAATTCTGTATCCTTAAATCTCTTGAAGTTTTTTAATTATATATTCACTCAACACACATTTAATCTATTATCTCACTAACATATGAACAAACAATCAATTCTAGTTTTCAAGATTCTAAAGTTCCCCATAACTTTGACATGAAATCGAGGCACTTCACACAATGTTGCTAACCTGCATCCTGTTATCTATGAAGTACTCGCGCAGAAAATATATGCCATAGTATTGACAATATGCTGCTTCTCAATATAAAGATTTTTTAGATTCACTGTTTCAGATATGAGCTTTGAGAACAGAATAATCGGTGTTGGGCTTTTATGTTCTCAATTTACTCTATTATGCACATCATTCAAATGTGTAATTTGTTTTTGTCCTTCCACTTGTAACCCTCTTCCTCTGCATTAGCTGGCCCAACTGGTATGAAGGGTAGTAGAGTGACCTTGAAACTCAAGTTTGTACACTAAAATCCAACTGCAAATCGTGGAGTTCTAAAAACAGTAATGGCAAAGAGGAACCTGAATCAGAAAGATGCCCAGGAAATGATGCTGTGGAAGTTGAAACGTAGGATGTAGCAGAAGCCATATGACACCTGATTAATAATGATATTCTGGCTGCAACCCTCTCTTCTGAGGCCTAGCTAAAAGAGACACCATTGAGACGTGCCTGCTCAAGATTGACTAGTTCTGCACTGGAGGTTGGCTACAGAGAGCACCCGAATTAAATGAGCTAGGAGTTGGAACTTAGCCAAATATTCATCTTCCTACCAAAAATAAAACCTTTTCTAATTGGTTTTAGTCTGTTGTAAAAAAAGCAAAACAAAACAATAGAAATACCTCAATTTCAATTTCATTTGATAATTCAGGTGTCAGTTACCAACTAAACAACCATTCTGCTATGATTTATTAAGAGTATCAAGCAAAGTTATGCAGCTTCCAAAATGCTGTTTACCATTCAATCTAATACATTACAATCTAAACTCATGGGAGGAGGGTCACTTTGAAACGTTACTCACCTGGTGTCCTCCCGACGCACTGCTGTTTGTGGAAAGGGAAGAGGTTGAAGAGGTTGTGGAGGATCCTCCAATCGGCTGCCCTCTCGGGAGACCTCCTGTAGTGAAGCCTACAGCAAATGATCTGAAACATAGGTGATTACACAATATTATTACTAGTGCTCAAACTATTAGGTTTTTTTTAAAAATGCGTTTAAGTGTCAGAACTTTTTTTTTTAATGTGTTTAAAAAGTGAAAAACGTGTGTAAATGACAAAAGTATTTTTTATGACTCATATGGAAACCAGTAACCGAGATGGAGGAAAGTCTCAAAGTAATACTTGATGCCATCCTCTTTAGAACTCTTCACATTTTATCTGTGCACTCTGAGGAATTTTGGAAGCTACTTGTGTTATGAGTGATTGTTATAGCTTAGAGTGTCATTGCCTGAATCGACAGTAGTGTTACAGTAGTGTAATGGTCCTCATTCGTTTTGACATGTTATGAAACAGACTCATTGCAATCAATCCCAAGAGTCCCCTAGTAAAATGTGATGTGACCAACCACTGCATTCAAAACTGACATGTCTCTCACCATATATCCAAAAACTCAAAAGTATTAAACTTACAACATTCTCAAAATACTCATTTACTCATATAAAATTTAGCAAAATATGTAATAATATCTAAGTATGAGAATATTCATTTCATGACACTTAATCAAAATATTTAATTTTAGCTAATATGCAATTTAGTATATAGAAACTATGGGTGCAACTTGGATTTCCACTAAACTTTTAACACTTAAGATTATACTTGGATTTATTCACAGCTGCCTTTGACATAACTCAGCTGTTTCGGTGTCATCCAATCGGAAGGTTGAACACCAACATAGTGACGTCACTGTAGTGATGTGTAAGGTCCTGATTGGATAGCACCGTAACAGCTTATGATCTACCAGAGGCAGCTTTGATTAAATCACAGTATAAGTAGGAAAAATATGTATTTACCTAAAAGTGTAAGCCCTAATTATTACATTTTAATTTATTTTGTTGACACCAAAAGAAATTGTGCAAGTTTCTGAGGAGCTTATATATTTTCACTGTCCACTTTTGTAACACACCTCTGCCCCAATCCTCCTTGGCTTTGCTGCATGGGTGGAGGAACTTTGCCACCGGTGTGACCGAACTGCAGCCCGTTGCCAGTCATCGGTTCTCCTGCCGCCATGACAGTGGTTGCGTGGCCTTTGTTGGCTGCAGACAGCGAGGGGATGGGAATGCTATGCACCTGTGCAGAAAGCATTGCACTCAA